AACCACTTTTAAGTGCTCTGTGGCATTAAGAACTTTCACAGGCTTGTGCAACCATCCCCACCATCCATCTCCAGAACTTTTTCTTCTTCCCAAGCTGAAACTTTGTACATAGGAATTGTCCTACTCTAGGTACCTTATATCAGGGGGTCCTATAGTATTTGTCTCCCTAAGACTGGCTTATTTCCTTGGCCTCACATCCTCAAGCCCCAGTGACTTCAGTGACTTCAGACCACCACATCTAGCATCATCATCATCCTCTTCCTCCTCCTTATCATTATTATTATTATTATTTTTGGACTGCCAGGTCTGAAAGTTATAGTGACCTCAGATTTGTTGCTACACACAATGGAAATAGACTTCCATTGACTTTTTTTTGTACCCCCAACACTGTACAAAGTTTAAACTCTATCATATGGCCCTGACTCTACAACATTAATAATGGTTTTGCTCCTCTGACCAAATCCTAACTGACACATACTTTCACTGGGACTTGATGTTTTAGTTATAAATTGTTCTTCAATGTTCTACTTTGATATTACAATCACAGTTCCTGCTTTTTTTAGATTTTGGTTTTCTTTCCTTTTTTTTTTTTTTTGAGATTTATTTATTTATTTTGGTGGGGGGAGGAGCAGAGGGAGAGAATCTCAAGCAGACAACCTGCTGAGCACAGAGCCTGACATGGGGCTCCATCTCAGGACCCTGAGATCATGACCTGAGTCTAAACCAAGAGTCTGACACTCAAGTGACTGAGTGACCCAGGCGCCTCTAGATGTGGGTATTCTTTTATAAACAAATTTGAAAATCTTTTTTTTTTTAAGATTTATTTATTTATCTGAGAGAGGGAGAGAGATAATGAGCAAGGGGAGGGGCAGAGGGAGAGGGGGAGGGAGAGGGAGAGGTAGAGAGAATCCTCAAGCAGACTCCCCGCTGAGTGCATGGTTTGACTGGGGGCTCAATCCCAGGATCCTGAGGTCATGACCTGAGCTGAAATCAAGTTGATGATCAACTGACTGAGCAACCCAGGCGCCCCTTGAAAATATTTTAATATGCAAATTAAACCCCTTTGTAAATGATATTATGATATGGTTTAGTCTCAGCTCTGTCATATTATTTTCTTTGACAATTGCCATGTGTAGTATGCTGTATTTACTCCTTTTCTCCCCCCCTCACTATCTGGTATGTATTTTTTGCTATTTAAAAATTTTTTTTCTTATGGTTTTAGAATAGGGTTTCTGATTTTGGGGAATATATATATTTTGCTTTGTGGCCAAGTTTTATATTTTTATATTACCCTTCCTTCCTTCCTTGTTTCCTAACCTTTCAACATCTGGCTGTGAATTTTATAGGGTCTCCTTTGACTTCCACTTACTGCCTGTTTAATAGTCAGTAATATGATTCTGTTTTCTCTTTTCTCTCTCCCTTCTCCTTCAACTACTTTTAGCTGCTGGTATCTTACTTTACCAGAAAGTATAATGTGTACATACTATTCTTCTGCCAATTAAATATATAAATGCTCTCCATCGGTCATTTTGTTGGTTTTTCTCTGTTTTCTCTTGGATGGGGGGAATCTTACTCTCCAGGAAAGGCATATACTGGTCTCTGAATTTTTGCACCTAGTCCCTTTCTCTGTGTTTATAGCTGCACACAAAAATCCTTGGCTGATATTTTCTCGCATTGAGTTTCTTGTTTCTTGTAAATGGTGCTCCATTGCTCCCTGGCTTTGTGTAATGTTCTTCAGATGTCTGATACCAGCCTAAATTTGTGATCTCTATAAGTAATTTGATCTTGATGCCTTTAAAATCCAATAGTTTTACTAAGATACGTTTTGGAGTTGATTATTCCAGAACAGTTTTTCGGGGTACATGGAAGTTACTTCTGATATACAATTTAATTTTTCTCTTATTTTTGAATTCTCTTCCAGGATTACAGCTTTCCCCAGTTTTAATTTTATAGTTGACATCACTGTATAAACCACCATAGAAGTGGTACAGCATAATGACTTGACTAACATATATTGCGAAATGATGACTACAATAAAGTTAACATTCATCACCTCGTGGATAAAAAAAGAAAAAAAAAGTTGTTTTCCTTGTAATGAGAACTCTTAGGACCTACTCTGTTAATAACTTTCAAATGGGCCAAGCAGCATTATCCATCATGATGTAGTTACATTGAATATTACATCTGAGATTATAGATTTATTTATTTATTTATAAAGATTTTTATTTATTTATTTGATAGAGAGATCACAAGTAGGCAGAGCAGCAGGCAGAGAGGGAGGGAAGCAGGCTCCCCGCTTAGCAGAGAGCAGGATGTGGGGCTCGGTCCCAGGACCCCGAGACCATGACCTGAGCCAAAGGCAGAGGCCCAACCACTGAGCCACCCAGGTGCCCCTATTTTTCTAAATTTTTTAAAAAGATTTTTATTTATTTATTTGACAGACAGAGATCACAAGCAGGCAGAGGCAGGCAGAGAGAGAAGGAGGGGAAGCAGGCTCCCTGCTAAGCAGAGAGCCCAATGCCGGGCTCCATCCCAGGACCCTGAGATCATGACCTGAGCTGAAGGCAGAGGCTTAACCCACTGAGCCACCCAGGAGCCCCGAGGTTATAGTTTCAATACTAATTCTGCTTCCCTGGTGTTTCTGTGTTGAGGACTCCGGTTATAGGTGTTTTGGTCCTCATTTCCTTTCATTTCAACCACTTCCCTTTGAGCACTTTGCTTCTTTCTTTAAGTTATTTTCAATGTCTTGATTATTTTCTTGCCATTCTTTAGTGTCCTCTTAGCTATTTTTATTTGACTCTATTCTCCCATGGGCATTTTGTAATTATTCTCGGTCTTTCAGAGAGTTCTGTCTTATTTTCAACCTCTTCCCTGAATTTGATCAACTTTTGTTGCATTTCTTCCTAATGTTTGTCTAGCTTGTTCCTAGTTTTCGAATTTCTCATTGTAGTTGTCCCTATGTATGCGTATATGTACGTCTGGATGTGTGCACGTGTCCACATAATGCTTTGGTCAGTTTGGTGGTTTGACAGGTGGTGTTACAATTCTTCCTGCTTCCCGGTTTTAGGGGTGTGTGTGTGTGTGTGTGTGTGTGTATTTTCATCAGCTGAAAATGTTACGATTTTTTTTTTATCAAAACAAATGTGATTCCTTTTTCGTTTTTATTTTCTTTTAATGGTAGCTTCGTATGCTGCCAACCGGATGCTATTCTGTTACTGGGAATTTTGACACAGGGCTCCCAGTTCAGGAATGTTCTCTTCTATCTGTAGAGTGAAGTGCAGTTTTCAATAGGTCACGGTGTCTGGGGGAGGGACTGGCTGTCTTTTATTTCTGTAGGATCTTTAATTTGCCCTTTTTACTTCCTTCTATCCCTTCACTGCCAGGCCTCCAAAGGGCATTACTCTTTCTTTATTTGTTTGACTTTTCCCAGAAGCAAGGCTTCTTCAAGGCTGCCACCTCCTGTCCCATTCTCTTTCAAACCTCTTCCCTGTTAAGTACCCGACCTGTGTTCAGTTTTAGTTCTTGATGCTGGACTTTCTCTTTGTAGAGGTTTTTTTGTTTTGTTTTGTTTTTTAAAGATTTTATTTGATAGAGATTACAAGTAGTCAGAGAGGCAGGCAGAGAGAGAGAGAGAGAGGAGGAAGCAGGCTCCCCGCTGAGCAGAGAGCCCGATGCGGAGCTCGATCCCAGGACCCTGAGATCATGACCTGAGCTGAAGGCAGAGGCTTTAACCCACTGAGCCACCCAGGCGCCCCTTTGTAGAGGTTTTAAGCCGGGACTTCACTTAAGTCCTTGGCAACGGCGGAGGGAGCTCTGCTGGAATTTGATGTCTTTTCTTTCTTCTACTTAAGAAGTAATTAGAAGTTCAGTTCACGGCATTCCCTCTCCCAGTAGTGCTGAAGGCTTGTTGGTGTTTGCATTTTGTCGAAGATGCGAGTGGAGATTCAGATTCATGAAGCTGCCATCATCCTCCAGACTGGGAAGCTCCTGGAATCACTTTTGAAATACCAAGTGCCAAGTAACATTTACTTACTTTCCTAGGAGCACGGGAAACTTTGAGTGTGGCAAGGGCATCATCAAGGTTACCCAGATTCTGTTACAAGACAGATGAGTCTCCCTGAGATGCTTCTGTGTTAACTCTTCTTTCTTCTTTTAAGAAAGCAACACATCAAAAGGGAAAGATTGAAAAATATATATATTGCGTCCCTTCTTCCCCTTTCATGTTAATTAAAAACAAAATAAAGCAAAAGAATCCTGCTATTCAGGGCTGTCCATTCTCGGAAAAATATTCTCTGGACCTCTCTTATTCTACCTGGGGGCTCCCACCTGTGACTAAATAATCACAAGAAATTGGCAGCGGGGGATCAGGGATGTTCTGCTGCAAAATTAGTAAGAAAACTGCAGCAAGCAGCTGCAAAGTCGGGTCCGGCAGGCGGGATTGCACCAAAACGCTCAGGTGGGCCGGCCGTTAAGGGTCCCAGTCGGTCCCCAAGACCCCGGACCGAAGAGGTGACAGCCTAGGCGGGGCGGCGCGCGGCAGCCGTGACCGCCAGGGTCCCGGGTGCGTGTGCACGTGTGTGTGCGCACGTGTGCGCGCGCTCCGCCCGGTGCCGGGCAGCCACCTGTCACTCAGGGGCAGCGGCGGGGAGGACGCAGAGGGGGCGGGGCGGCGGCCGGGCCCGCGGAGGCCCTCCCGGCGGAACCCCCGAGTGCCGCAGCCATGGAGACGCGGTAATCCCCTCCTCCGGCCCGCGCCCCGGCCCCCGCAGCCGCCGCCGATTGGTCGCCCTTTGCTCCCTGACCCGCCCGCCGCCTCCGAGGCCGCCGCTTCCTGCTCGGGCGCCGCGCCGCGCTCCCGGCCCTGGGCGGAGCTCGGGCGCCGGGCGCGCGCCGCCTTCGCCGCCGCCGAGCAGCAGCCCGCGCCGGAGGAGGAGCCGCCGCCGCGCCCTTCCCCTTCCTCCGCTCCTCCCCCGGCCCGCTCCCCGCCCGCGCCGGCCCCAGGCAGCACTCGCGAGCAGCGGCGGCCGCGGCCGGCGGCCGAGAGGGGAGAATGCGGCGGCGCTCGCGGATGCTGCTCTGCTTCGCCTTCCTGTGGGTGCTGGGCATCGCCTACTACATGTACTCGGGGGGCGGCTCCGCGCTGGCCGCGGGCGCGGGCGGCGGCGCCGGCAGGAAGGTGAGTGGGGCGTCCTGCCCGGGCCCGGCCCCCCTCCCCCGCCCCGACTCCTCTTTCCCCGCCGGCCCCTCCCGCGCCGACGCGCCCCCTGCCCGGCTGCAGACCCCCTGCTCCGACGTGGCCGGCCGGGCCCCGAGGGGCGCTCCTGACCCTGCTGCTCGCCTCTGCCCGGACCTAGGCTCGGCCCCCGCTCCCCTCCCCGGGCCTCCCAACCGATTCCCCAGGGCCAGGGGTGCCCCGGCCCCTCTGCGCTCGCCCGGCTCCGGAGAGGGCGACCCGGCGCAGTCCGGCAGGGGCTGGGGACCCCTGACGCCTTTCTCGTCGCCCCCCGTCCCCCTCCGCAGACGTCCCCCTCTGTACACGTCCCCCTCTGTCTGCTCCACGTAATTGAAGTTGAGTCCTGTCCAGCCGCCGGGAGCCCCGACCCCTGCGGTGGGAAGTTTAGCCGTGGGGGTGTTGGGACACACAAAAGGGGGTGGGGAGGAGAGGAGGGAGAGGCGGCTGCCTTTGCAAAGTGTCAGGTACCGGAGAGAGGAGTCCAAGTTTCTTCTCAGCCCTTTGATACAAGCCGCCACAGTCCTCACCCTTTTCCCCCTCGTCACCCCGCGGGGAGTGGTGGTCTGGGGCAGCTCGGGGACTCTGCCCCTTTCTCTCTGTACGCTACCTCTGGGGGCGCGGTGGGGGGGTGTGCAGCCAGCCCCGTGCCGGATTGAACGGACTCCCAGGGCGGGTGTAAGTGGAGGGCCAGCGCCCCCCTTCCGGGGGGGGGGGGGGGGGGGCCGCCGCCCCCCCCCCCCCCCCCCCCCCCCCCCCCCGTCTCCAGCATCTTCCCTTCTCGGCCCTGATGTTGCGGCTGGGGGCCCGGCTGTGGCCCCCTGCGCGTGCCTTCCCCTGCTCCGCTACCCGGTTACGCGGGGATGGTCCCTGTTCCATGGCTGTGCTTGGAGCAGGCTCCCAAGGGCCGAGTGGTTAGGCCGTGGGGACCGTGCAAGCCACCTGGACCGCCCGGGAGGAAATCGAGCGGCCAGAGACGCCCCAGTGGCGGGGTTCTGCGGCCGGGCGCCCACTGGGAGCCGACGGCTTTGGCTGTGCACATGCCGCCCGCGGGGTTGTGGTGTTTGGTAGGGAATCGCCTTTGAAAGCCGAGTTATCTTTTTCGAAATCCTGTAACCCTCATTACTGTGACGTTTAGTGGCTCGGCAAACCCAGGAAATTGTGAGTTAATGGAGATGGACCACGGGTTGGGCTGGGACCAGGGAATGGTATTCTGGAACAGGGCAGATGGGATTGACTGTATGAACAGACTTCTTAGCCTGAGAGTCAGACCCGTGAAGTCAAGGCTTCTTCAGGGGTTTCCCCCCTTGGTTTGTTTGTTTCTTTCTCTCATTCATTCATTCATTCTCACCTGAAGGTATTAGATGGAGGTAGGTATCTTGAGTCTTGGGTTTGCTTTATCTGGCGGGGGCAGAAATGAAAAGTCTTTCCATGTGCTGAATTGGCCTAGCTTAGTTCTGAGCCAGCAGTGTGCTCTTAGCCCATTTTTTTCTTTCCTTTTTTGATGCAGGGAACTGCTGTCTGTGTACCTGAAGTCTCTTGTTTGTTCTTGAAGGGTAACGATCAGGGCATCCAGTAGGAGCAGTGCAGCCCTTTGAAAACTACGGTCATGTTAAACTGGAATTATTCTCAAAACTTTGCTTTGCAGAAAAATGCGCCTTGGCAGGTCCACATGGCCTGGTGTGCTGGTGGGACCTGGCAAAGCCTTCTGCCTTTCCTGCAAAAGAAAAACAAACAAATAAGCCACACTGGTATTTCTCTTTCCTTGGTTTGGCACTTTCACGAGTACATGTGATTAGACATAGCAACAGTGTGGCCTCAGCATCCAGAGAGACTGATTTCTCCCTGGTGGGCTTCAGCTGCTGGGTTTTGAGGGGTCCTCTGTGTTAACCCCTGAAGTGGTACCCTTAATTAAAAAAAAAAAAAAAAATCCAGGAACTCCTTGTGACCTAGTGGCAATGGGAAGGTACAGAGATCAGGTAGGAAAAAAATGCGTGGGCAATGAACAATTATCCATGGAGTGGTGATTTGGGATTCTATTCTTTCTGTCAACGAACCATAAAATTTAATCCTAGCCCTTAGAATGGTTTAGTGATTTGCCAGTTGAGAAAGAGGTGTGTAAATGCAAAGGCTTTTGAAATCGCAGTAAAAGACTCATTAACTTAGTGTTGTGGACCCAGGTATAAAACTTGAAACCGTGAGACTGTTCTGAAGGGCCTGAATAGAGCCCCACTGTCCTGAATTTCCGAATCCAGAGTATTTAAAACTGCGTCGTCTTCCTTCCCCCTGAATTGTTTTCATGGATTTCAAGATTCAAGAGTCTTCAAATTTAGTTCATCCTTATGATAAAAGGAAATATGTAGGTTTTTTTTGTTTTGTTTTGTCTTGTTTTTTTTTAGCTTGCAAAGTATGGACATGAAAAAAGATCATGTGGTATGCAAGTTAAGGCAGAATTTAAATACTAGCGATAGTTTTTTAAGATGCAAGTGGAATGGATGTTTCTTCTCTTGCTCCACGCTACGCTATAGTAAGTCAAGACTCTCCTTCCACATTGAGCCAATTTCTCTCTGCCCTGGCGTTTTTCACGGGGTACCAGGCTTCAGGATTAGGCTTTGGGGGATTGTCTGACTGGCGCGGGCCTGGTGTTTCTGCTGCTTCAGCACCCCTCCCGGCCTTGTCACTGTGTGCCCTGCCTGTTAAATAACTCTTCTCGGGATGGTTATTCTTCACTTGGCAAAACCCAGAAAGCCACCCCACCTCAGGTTGCAGATCTAATAAAGGAAGACAGGAGCAAGGGCCATTGCCGCACCATCTGGGACGCAAGGCTGAGTCTGGGGTGTGAGGTCAATCAGTTTCTGCGTAATATTGTCAAAAATCAGTGCATTTGCATTTGTGTAGATCTCTCCACTCCTCCCATACTTTGCTCCCCCCCGCAATTGATGCTTTGCACTCCAAGGATGCCTTTCCTTTAAGCATCTTAAATGCTCTAAAATTTTAATCATGTTAAGTCTCCCCCAGGCCTTTGCAAGTTGGCGGCGGATGGAGCCATAGAAAAGAAGGGATTTCTGTTGCAGTGAACCTGCCTCTGGATAAAGTGTGGCTGTTAAGGCTGGAAAGGGGAGGATTTCCTAGTATGTGAAGCACGACTTCTCCTGAAAGAGAGTGTGTCCAGTCCGAGCCCCCCCCCCTTTCTGTGCCACTCCCTCCCTCGGGAAGTGAGGGAAAGCCGTAGCTGAAGGACAGGACCAAGGGCTAACCCTTTCCACCTCCCTTCCCTGATGAGTGAGCACAGGGCTGCCCTTGCTCTGGGGGTGCGAAGGTGGAGGATTTTGGGGGTGATCTTGCAGGAGGCATTTGGGGGGAAGAGGGAATGATGAGAGCCCCCACTTGGCTGGGGCATGGGACATGTATAGGGGGACAGTAGGGTTTGAAACTGGAGGAGATGGGGACTGGGCTGTAGAGAGAGGGCTTCGCACACCAGGCTGACTTGTTGATTTTTAATTTGGTCCATCATGGGCAACAGCAGTGTGTTTTGAGCTGGGTGGTGGACGCTCACAGGAAGAACAGCACGAATCCACTTACTGGTACTGAGTGACCTTAGCTCTCTACCCCTTTCTGCTTAGTGACCTTTACTAATTTACCGAACTTCTCTGACCCTCCGTTTCTCCTCTTTACGGTGGGGATCATCATTTTCACCTTGTGGCGGCGACCTAAACGCCAGCAGTAGGTGTTGGGGAGCAGTAGACACCGAATAAATGGTTTAGAGGGTTGGGGGGATAAGGAAGAAGTAGAAGGCAGAAATACTCCTTGAAAATATATTGAACCAGGAATCTGCAGTGTCTTCTTGCTCTCCAGAAAATCGTTGACATTTTTATTTTGTCTTTTATCCTTCATCCATTCCTCTGACATTGATTTGTTCCGTGTATCTGGGCTCGGACTGAAGAACCTTGAATGACATTAAGGGCTGCCTTTGGAGGGAGGGGTCCAGACATGCCAGCTCTCCGGAACCCTGCTACGGTGTCCCACCTGTGGGCAGCCAGCAGGAAAGCTTGGGTGGAGGCCACACCTTTCTCTGTGGTTGGGTAAGCAGTGGGGGTGTCTCTGTGAACGTGGCCCGAGGTGGAGGTTTCTTGTGGCAAGGAAGCCAGACTGCTTCATGCCCCCCCTCCTCGGATCTGGGCTCCCCTCCCCTGCCCCTGTAGCCTTGCGTCTCCGGGCAGGAGGGAAGTGTCCGTGACTGCTCTCCTGTGACTGCTACGAGATGGGACGTGAAGCCGCCACGTGCTTGGATGGGTGTCAGTAGAGCTGGGAGTCTGTGGGTGGACCTCGCTCCCTACAATCAGTCTGGAGTTTAAGGAAGTTCCATTGGAAATGAGAGTCTGAAGCCGAGGTAGGGAGGGCGTTCATGGTGGGGAAAGCACTATAGCTGGAGAGCCTGACCAATGGCACTGTGATGGAGACTTCTCTGTAAGGAAAACCAAGTTTCCCTGTTCCCAAGTTATGTTGTGGCTGGCTGCCTCCAGGTGCTCAAACATAAGGGGACAGATTGTGACTGATAAACAGTGCCGGCGTGATAAGTGCGTCCCTTCACCTCCCAGCAAGCATGCAGAAGAAGCTGCTGGACCCCGTACAGGGGAGGGTCAGCTTGCTCGGGCTGTCAGACCTTGAGGTAGGGTTGGGGGGACCCAACTGGTAAAGAGTGTGCGTGGGCTTCAGGCCCTCTGTCTGTCTCTGCACCGTACCTCCTCATGCGTGGTGGGATTCCTCTTCGGAACAGGGGGAAGGTCATCGAGAGGTGGTCGATAGGTTTATGGCTATAGATTCATATAATATCTTGTTTTGCACTTCACGTTTTCCAGATCTCTGGAGAGCAGGAAGTAAGTTGAGGAAGAAGTCAGTTTTGAAGCAGGCAGTGCTGGGCTGCCTACCTTCTAGCCAATCTGAGG